GGGGGGAGGGGGAGGGGGAGGGGAGGGGAGGGGGGAGGGGGAGGAGGAGCTGGGCCTTCAGCACAGGGCTGCACCTTGCAGCTGAGGGCCTCCTTCCTCCAGGCTTCTCAGGATCCAGGTGTGAATGTTAATCCACCTCCGCCCAGTTTTCTTTAGTGGGCAACTAAATGCCTTGGATAGTCCTCAATCTGGGTACTTCTAGGGGTCAATTTGCCAAACATCCACGTCATGTCTCTCTGACAGTCTTTGCTTTTACTCCTCTTTCCCTTACACTATGGACGTCTTTCTTGCATAAAGCTTTCTAGGGTGCTGAGACGACAGGTCTGGAACTTGAAAGGTGGTTGATCTGAAGGGGGAGACAGGTCTACAAAAGCCCCCACCTGGGGGATCCCTGCCGAGCCCTCCCTTCAGCGGCCAGAAGGATCCAGCAAATCTGACAAAGTCATCCCCTGCGAAAGTCACTCCACTGTGGCTCCTGGCTGCTCCAGGCTCAGCTCCAACCTCCCGTCCCGTCCCATCCCATCCCATCCCATCCCATCCCATCTATAAGGCCTCCAGAGCGGCCACTGTCCTCCCCGGTCCCCTGTCCTCCTGCGTTCCTCTCCACAGAACAGCTACAGCTTCCAGGACGCCTTTCTGTCCCTTCCACGCAGCACTCCTTACACTGGAACACTCCTCCTTCCCTCACTTTCCACCTGGTAAATCCCAGCTCTCCATCAGGTCTGGAGTGTCACCTCCTGGAGTGTCACCTGACCAAGGCTGGCCTAGGGAGCCCTCATGGCTTCTCCCACAGCCCTGACCTTCCTCAGCCCCCCTGCTGCATCCCCGTGGGCAGCGAGCTCATCAAGAAGGGCTCCCCCTTGAATTCCCAGGCTGAATCTTAAGGAAAGAGCGCCTGTCCCCATCTTTGGGGAAACCCTCCACGGCTCCCCCTCTGAACCTGACAGAGGATCAGATTCTCCCCAGGACCTACTGGCTCTGGTGATCCGGAGCCTCCTCTTCTTCCTGTCTTTTTGGTTTCCACAGCCTCCCCACCCTGCTCAGCACAACTCATTCGCACCAGCATTCTGGAAGCTTCTCAGACACCCTGTGAGTGTGCATGCTTCTACCTCAGGGCATTTGCACCTCCTGGCTCCACTGTGGGAACACTCACATGCAGATACCCCAGGGACTTGCCCTTCCCTTCCTTCAGGATGGGGCTGTCTCCTTACCGGAGAGGACCCCTCCCACCTCTGGTTGTCACTGGAGTGAGATTTTATCCCCCAAACCACCTACAAAACCAAGCGAGGGAGACTGCAGACACTACTCACTTTCAAAGGACCACTTGTTGAGCTCGCGGTACAGGTCTTCCATGCGGCCTCTTTCATCACAGAGCTCATCTATCCTTCCCATAAAATCAGCCAGCACCTGCAGAGCAACCGGGAGAGATCGCAGTGAAAGTCATGGAAGGAAACAGGGTTCAAGCTGAGGGTGCTGAAGGGTTTGCTCTATCTGTGTTCTCTGCCCCAAGTGTCTCTGTAAAGCAGCACTAATTACAGGATGGCCTTGGGAAGCTGCCAGGCCACACCACCTTGTCCCTGGTTATCTCCTGAGCCCTTCCTGAAGCCACCCCAAAGCTTCAGATTCCACTTTTGATCTAAAAGTAATTCTGACAATTTAAGAAAAAAAAAAAAAGCATTTCTCCTCATCAGAATGAGGCAGGGAATTGGCCTCATGTCCCTGGCAGGGACATCACCTTGAGGACGGTGAGGCTGTGACTGTGCTGAGGTCTGCACTCCACACTTCCATATCTGGGCAAGAAATTGTCTCTTTTTTTGGTTGGTTGTTTTTGTTGAGTATGTTGAACTTGGAACCAAATCTGCAAATCCTGGATGCAGTGCTCTCCAAATAGCCCAGTGTCCTTGGACAGTCACATAAGCTCTCTGTATGACAGTTTCAAACACCAATGCCTTATAGTGACGAATGCCTTATAGTTGACGACGGCTGTAAAGTACCAACCACTGCCCGGAGTGTGCTCTCAGCTGACCCACAGAGCAAGCCCGGGAGGCGGGAGGCACTGCAGCTACGGAGGCTCTTTAGGGAAGCTAAGTCACTTGCCCACGGACACTTAGCTGATTACTTGCCATGCTTGACCCTGGAAGAAGGTACATGTGACTCTAAAGCTTGCAAATGTAATCAATGGACATGTCTAATGTTCTCACATAGTGTATTAAAAAGCATTTTGAATTTTTTTTACCACTAAAGAATCAAGAGATTTCACATAAATGTATGGATTCTCTACTACTTGTCAAAATAATAATGATGAGGTTATTATTACAAGGCGACACTGGCTGTGTGTTCCCACGTGGCAGTAATTTGCTAGATCTGTGGCAGCCATCCATGCATGTGGGCATGCACTCTTCTGTTTGCTGAATTCTTTACGGGACCTGCCTTACTATTCTGTGTTAATTATCCAGCTCCTGGACACTTCTAAGTTTGCAATCTCTCATCTATATGATTCTGTCTGGGTCCAAGTCCAGTTTAAAACAAACATACAAAGGTAACAGTAGTAACAAGAGATTACTTAAAATCCCCTTTGGCCTCCTGTTGGCTAAAGGATATTGTCCAAATACTTCAGCAGGGCATAAAACCATTGTCAAAGCCTCCTGCCTATCTAGTCACTCCAGGGAAAGCCTCGGTTCAGGTGCATTGAATGCTGTTCTCTAAACATAGGGTGTCTCTTCCCATCCCTGCATTTTCAGATTGTTCTCTCTGCTTAAATGCTTTTCTCCACCTTATTTTTCTTGTAAATCCTACTTATCCTGCAAAACCCAGCTCAATGTCACTACCTAAGTCCTTTATAAGCACTATCTCATTTAATTCTTCCAGCGAACATGTAGGGTAGGAACTGTTACATCCATTATATAGATTGGGAAACTGAGTCTTAGGAAAAGTGACATAGCCAGTGAGGGAAAGTCTGGAGCTTAGATCCAAGCCTGGTGAGTACCAAAGTCTGTGCTCCTAATGGTTGGAGAACCATTAAGTATTATTTTAAAAGGGTTTGGGGGAGAAAGGAATGAGGATTGGGGGAAAGAAGGATGGAGAGTGAGGTAGAGAAAAAGAGAAGGCCCTGGAATTGTCCAGATTGCATGCTTTTCCCTCTACACTTTGAAGGTATGAACTGAAGCTCCATTTACATCCCTCTGTCCCCAAGAGACCCAGAAAGCTGGCCCCAGTCTGCAAACCTCATTGATTTTGTTGTCCAGCTTCATAATTTCCACTGGTTTCATTAGTTTCTTTTGAAAGGCACTCCGCACCCTCTGCCAGTCTTCTCCTTCCCTGGGAGAGGAGCAGGATTATATTTAGAGCCAATGAAAAGAAGGGAATTGTAGAAATAACTCCAGGTACAACTTCATGAACCATGAAAGCAAATGAACCTTGAGAATCATGCCAAGAAATATGCACCAAATGTTAGCATTAGAATATTCGGGGCTGGTTTGACTATAGGATAAAACAGAAACCTTTCCTCCTAGCCCAAGACTGTATCAGGAAGGTGAAGCCCAGATGATTTGGGCTCAGGGCTTTGGGTATGCCCTTCTGGACCTAGGGCTGGGAGGCTGAGGGCCTCAATTTTCACCAATAAGAGCCAACTCCATGGATGTACCTTAGCCAGCAACTTGGGTTTGTTTGAAAAAAAAAAATCCGTTTTCAACTCATCAGCTTGTACATAATAACCAGAGAAAACCCCCCTCAAATTTAGAATTTTGCCATTGCCTCCAAATGATAGCATCTAGTCAGAGAATCACTGGAGTTGTGAAAAGTCCATACACCTTATGAACTTGCCCCAAGGCTGACCACATAGCTTATGAAGCCCCAAGTCTTATCATGGTTTCCAATGACAACTGTATCTTGAAGAACACAGCTTCTAGGTATTACAATATGGGGTTAAAGAAAAGTGCTACTTGTTAAATGTCCACAGTTAAAAACCAGAGGAACCACATCATACTGTGGCGTTTATTTCTCTAGAATGTGACCTTGGCACCTGTCCTTATCCACCCTTGCAGAGACATAGCTCTTAACCCCAGATCCTTTCCAGAAAAGAACACTGTGGAAACAAAAGAGGATAATTTCCAGCTTTTGAGTTTATGGGGGTGGGGGGAGGACATCAGGGAATTTTAAGGGGTTCTTTTGTTTGTAAATTATTTGTCTGGCACACTGACTTCAGAGCCTTATTCTCTGGAATAGTCTGAACACCAGAATTCGTGTGACATTGCTTTTGAGGGAAGGCTGACCTGCAGGAGAGCAAGTACTCTCTGCTGCCTCTTCCCTGGACCCATTCTATTCAGCGGCGCAGGATTGCACTTCCTGCAAGTAGGGGCTTTGGTTTTGTCCGGCAAGAGAAATACATCACTCCAGAGAACTCTTAACTCCCGCCCCTTCCCAACTTCCAGGCACTTCAGACCAAACCACCTGTCTGCGTTCTGCGCACTGGACTTACAAGATCAGCAGTCCGTAGCCCTCCTTGCGGTAGTCGCGATAGGCCTTCCATGGCTTGATCTCCAGCCGCTGGGGATACGCGCTCTCGGTGCGGTACAGCGCTTCCAAGAGGCATGGGGAGCCCAGATGCACTGAGTCGAAGGAACCCAGCTTCATTCGAAAAATTTTGCCATACTTCTTGTGGTACTCTACCTGCAGCGGGTAGAGCGAAACTTTGGAGTAAGCGCGCATCCTCCGCAATCCCAGGAACGCTGATGACTCCTGCAGCTTAACCAGTGCACTAGTGCACCTGAGCGCACCGAGCGCACCGCGCGCCCCTGGCCTTGCGCCTTAAGGAGAGGTTGAAGCGATACTGGGAGAACAGGGCAGGGCAGGGAGCAAAAGGGAATTGGGGCATGACAAAATATTTACCAGAGTGTCATGCTGTTTCTTCAGGCCCCCTTTCCAAAGAATCTCCAGCAGACTGCCCAGCAGTGGCCAGTTGGTGGGACCCGGCAGGGTGTCCGCGTTCTGCGTCTCACCACGTGGCATCAGCGGACAGAGGGGCACCTCTCGCGGTGGACGGGGCGCACACGCCCTAGATGTCATGCGTCTGGGGGGCTGCCCCAGGCTGCGCAGCCCCTGCTCGAAGGCGGCAAGGGAGCGGCTCATGCCAAGGAGGGAGCTCATGGCAGCAGCGGAGACGCGGGGCATGGGAGGACCCAGCACTGGGGAGGGCAAGGCTAAGAGTTGTTATCGGAATCTGGGGGCTTGACGATTCTGGGAATTTCAGGGCCAGCCGATTGATAGAGGAGGGTAGAGGAGGATCAGGGAGCAGAAGGGACCTTGGAGAGAATGCAAATGCGGCAGCCTCTGGTTGCAGCTGCCAGGGTAGCGCTGGCGACAGGGGCTGAAGGAGCGCTGCCGGGGTTTGGTGGCTCTTGGAAGAGGAAAGGAGCCCCGTGGGTCCGCGGTTTGGTCTGCAAGTCTGACTTCTAGGGTCTGGAGCCACAGATGGGAATGCCCAGGAGGGTGAAAAGGATGCTGTTGGCTCTGTCGTTTCCTGCTGTGCCTCTCCATGCTCCAGTCCCGGGACCATGTATTTATGGAGACAGGCAGGCCCTGAGTGGCCAATGAGCACTCTGACTAGGGCGGAGTGGGCCCGGGCTGGCCAGGCCCCAAGGGAAGTGGGACGCGGGACGCGGGGGGGGGGGGTGGTGGTGGTGGTGGTGGTGGTGGAAAGAGGATGGAGTCAGCGAGGTGAGCGAGTGCGCCAGGGTCGGGTGACCGATGCGCTGCTTCTGGGGCGGGAGAGCCTTGGACTCCACCCCGGAGATAACCCTGAGGTAGGCACTCGAGCCAAGTTCACCGGGTGCGCGCTGATGCGCCTCCCCGCCCTCCCTTTGCGGGCAGCAGCCTGCAGTGGCTGCAGCCTGGCGCTTGCACAATAGCCATCCTGGGTGGCGAGGTCTCTGAGTGCGGTCCGGGAAGGGTGACGGCTCCTGCCAAGGGCGTGCTGCCCGCTCACCTTCTGGAGAGACAGGCTTCCCCAGCCTGGACTGGACTTCCTTCAGAGGAAAAAAAAATGACTTTCTGAGCCTCTGCAGGTGGAGAGGATTCGACATTCACTAAAATGCATGGAAAGAATGGATTTCACCTTCTATTCCTGGGCAAGAGGACCAATTGAGTTTGTAGAATTTCCTTCCTGGCTGCTTCATTTTTGGTTGTTATAAGGATTAAAGGAATTCTTCACGTAAAGTGCCTACAACCTAGTCTTGTCCATGGTCACCACTCAATAAAAAATGCTGTGGTCATTATCTCCTCAGGTGGTTATGGAATGTGCTGTGAGGGCATAGCTTGCAATGGTTGCCACCTCCCCCACTCCCCTCAGCCCCCTCCCTCATGTGCATTGACATTTCACAAAGCAGAGACACTCACAGGTCAAACCAGGCCCCTCAACCATCCCCACCACCTCTACAAGGTCCATCCTAAGCCCAGCCATACACATGCTCCCAAACACACCTTCACTAGCCCAGAGTACAACTCACCTTCATAATTCAGAAAGGGAAGTTAGAAATTTTTGTTGATTGTGACTCATATTGTCGTGTTGCTGATCCAACATAAAGTTCCCAGCTCCCAGGGAGGAGGTGAAACTGTTTCCTCTCCCAGTTTCCAGTCACCTGAGTGGTTGTTTTGACCTAGGATTAACAAATCCTTCCTTGATAAGTCTCTTGTAAACATTTAGTTTGTTTCTTGAAAACCCTTTGTTCCAACTTGAGTTGGAAAACAATCATTTTAGATTTGTCCTCAGAAGTCAATGACCTTATGTTAATAAAAATAAAAGCCATTGAATATAGAGTTTATGTATAATTATTATATCTATTTATGCATGATAGACTAGATATTACATAGCACATACTAGAGATTTATATAGCTTATGTAATATATACTATATAGAATATGATTATGATATAGACAACATTATATATGTGTGTCATATGTTATATATTTTACAAAAGAAAGCTTTGTTATATAGTACACACACACACAAAGCTTTCTGGAATTAGTGAAAAATTAATTTTTCACTAGGCACAGAGCTGGACATATTTACATCCATTTTTGCATTTTTGACTTCATTCTGATGTCAACAAAGAACAAAAGCAGAAACCCAACCCCATGATGCTTAGAGAGTTAAATAATTTGCTCAATGTCATAGACCTTAGTAGTGGCCTAGGTGGGGTTCACACCCAACATTTTCTAGTTCCAGACTAAGCCGGTAATATAAACAGCATATACATTTTGTCATGTTGTATCATCTTTTCACAAACATATATCTCAGGAATATTGAAAATAATCCTTAAATGAGAATATTTCCAAGCAGGCATGGGATCAGAATGACTACCATGGCAGTGTCAGGGGGCAATGTGACATGTGACATGAATATCTTATGTGTTGAGAGTGGTTAAACAAAAATGCACCCCAGAGAAGGTCCATTTAGGTCTCCTCTGTGTGTCCTACTTGTGACAGCACATAGTGGATGCTCAGCGAATGATGACCCGTGACTTTAACTAGGGAGTATTCTTTCCTCTTGCTCTCAGCAGGTGTGCTCAAGAAGAAGGGGAAGCATTTGAAATTTGCCAGGGTCTCCTAGGAGTTTAGTGCTATATTGTTTCCTGTATTCCAAACAGATGCTTAGAAGTGCAGGTAATCATTTCTAACATAACAGCCAATTGGAAAAGTCCTGTTTCTGGGGAACTGGTTTCTCTTGTTGGAGGGAGACAGTCTCTAATAATTTTAATACTGACTTGCAGAGGGAAGTACAACTAGCTCTAGTTCATTGAGGACAATACTTACCCATTCTTGACCAGGTACCATTAAATAAGAAATGACTGTTTTGAGCCCTGTCCCAGGAACTCACCACTCCTCCCTTGGCCCATCCCTCAGTCACTACATACGGAGCCTCTGTGATTCCCCGGGCAGGGATGCTGTCGGGAATCCCTAATGAGAGATCTCAGAGAGTCTCATAAATGCTGGGACAAGCCCAGGCCCTCTGTCTGGTTCTGGGAACTCTCACCAAATCCTGGATGGGTAATTACACTCCAACCCTCATTGCAAGAACCACAGATGGCAGCATGTGTGCATGTGCACATGTGTGCACACATGTGTGTGGAGGGCTGGGTGGAGGAGTGTGTTGGAGGGCAAGGCTGATTTCCCTGTGCTGAGAAGTACCATGTGTGAAACGGAAATATAGTTTTGTGCTTTGGACTTGGCTAAACTGAGGTGTGAGTTGGAGATCTTCCCTTTGTGGAAACTCGGAGGACTGCCTATGTATCAGCTGAATGGACAGTGTCAGAACCGACCTACAGTGAAGCTCAAACATCCTGGGAATCTCAATAGCAACAAGAGCCACTCTCTCAGGGGTCCTGGGGGGAGGGGGGACAATGCACACAGAATTCTTGGCATAACAAAGTGCCTAGAGACTGCTACCTCCTAGTGTTCTGGTTTGCAGGCCTCAGTTTTTCCAAACTACATAGAAGGCAGGCAACTTAGATGCCTCAGTTACTACACTTGGGTTCAACTGAAGAGTTGTTTGGGGAAACTGATCATAGGACAAACACCTGCTGGTGAGTTCAAATCCTACCTTGGCCACTTAGCAGCCAGATGAGCCAGGGAGTCTACTGTCCCTGTGACCTCCTTCCAGAAGCGGCGCTAAGGGGAGCACCCAGTTCCCAGGGCTTTTCTGAGGACGACAAAGCGCTGAGAGACCTTGGTGCAAATGTCAACGTTACTGTGAACTACAGGGCCTGGCCTTTCACATCACTAGGGCCTTAATCTCCACAGTATGTCTCTGGGGTTCTCTGCCCAATTAGACAAACCTCAGAATTATAAACATTGTCTCCTTGTGTTTTGTCTCTGTCTCTCCTAGAGCACATGACACAGGGCTGCTTATGTTGGCCAGCACCCAATAAGCAAATAATAGGCAATTGATTATTGATTATTTCCTCATTCCCAAGTGAGAAGGAGAAAGATCAGTGTGAATGTGTCCTTTGTTCTCTGAGGGAACTATTGGTAAACCCTGGAGGACTTGTTTGGGTGTTGTATAGAAAGCAGTCCTATAAGACAAAAATAATAGTTTGGGTCCCAACAACTTGGGTGGAAGCCATACTCCATTGCTCACTAGCCAGGTGGCCTTGGGAAAGTTATTTTATTTCTATTTTTTAGCTCTAAGTATATCTTTATTTAAAAATTCTGTGGTAATGAATGAATGGAAAACCTTGGATAAAAAAAAATTCTATTAGTAAGTTGCTATGATAAATGAAGCAAGACTTGGTTACATCTAAATAGTTAAAGGACAAGTTATATACTTTGTGTTCAAAGATTTAAAAAATTCTAGAATATTCTGGTTCAAAGCATTTATATTTTTTGATTAATTGTTTTTTAAAAAAGTTTATTTGTTCTTTTTAGCTATACATGACAGTAGAGTGTATTTTGACATATGATATGTACATAGAATATAACTTCCCATCCTTGCAGTACATGATGTGGAGTTACACTGGTCATGTATTCATATGTGAACATAAGAAAGTCATGTCCAATTCATTCTGCTGTCTTCCCTATTTCCATTCCCCTCCCTTTCCTTCATTCTCTTTTCTCTAATTCAATAAACTTCTATTCCCCCACACACTTATTGTGAGACAGCATCCACATACCTCAGAGAAAATTTGGTCTTTGTTTTTTTTTTTTAGGATTGGCTTATTTCACTTAGCTTGATAGTCTCATTTCATCCATTTATCAGAAAATGCCATACTTTCTTCTTTATGGCTGAGTAATATTTCATTATATATATTTATATTACATTTTTTATTCATTCATCTGTTGAAGGGCACCTAGGTTGGTTCCATAGCTTAGATATTGTGAATTAAGCTGCTCTGAACATTGATGTGACTGAGTCACTGTAGTATACTGATTTTAAGTATTTTGAATATATATATAGGATAACTGGGTCAGTGGTGATTGCACTGTAAGTTTTTCTGAGGAATCTTCGACGGCTTTCCAGAGTGGTTGCACAATTTGCAGTCCTTGGGCAAATGAAGTAGCTTCTCTGAGCCCAGTTTTCTCATTGGCAAATTGAAGGTTATTATACTCATGTCTCTGGAAGGCAAAGATTAATGTTTAAAATATCAAACTGA